CTGGTAAAAGATGGAGCCAGGACTCAAATTCAGTCTGGCTCCTTTGTGCTGTTTATAACCATAATACTATCATAGAGATGTTTTTAAAAGGTGATTTATTGGTAATGACATGATATCATGCAAGTATTATGCACAGTTACATTGTTTATATGAATAGTGCAGAAAATGAATAACATTTGATGTCATTATAATCTCAAGAAACAGGGGATCCTCATATAAACAAGAACAGTTATGAGCTAAACACGTTTTTTAAAAATCCCTTTAAGTGGATGTCAGTTCTTGAAGGTGATTTGTTGTTAATGTCCAACAGTGAATGGGCACGAACAGAAGCTTGTGCGATTGGCAGCAACACAGCTTTTAGGAACACAGAAGGCAGACATAATTTAAAGCTAACATAGAGATCTCTTTGGGCTTGCAACTCCGGCTAAGCGGCCCTGCTGGCTCCAACCCCTAGGCCTGATGATCAAGAATTGTTGGATACTTCATGCAAAACACTGAGCCAGGCACTTTGAGATAGATGAAGAAGACTACGAGGCAGTGTATGCTCTCTAGGACCTTAAAACCTAGTTAGGAAGACAAGCATACGAGAATAACTTGGATTTTTTTTTCTTCTATGAGAAAAACATCTGGTAAGGTTATTCAGAACACTCAGCTTCATATGGATTTATAGATGTTGGCGCAATTTTTACTCTTTGGCTTCAGCTATTGAAGCTGTGGCGGCAGGTGTGATTACCTCGGAAGAGGGAAGGTGCAAAACAAACTCTTGAGGCCCTGGGTGCTCTGCAGGTGGTTTCCTTGCAGTTCTTCAGATAAAAGGAAGTCTAAGAACTTCCTGACTTTGTGACAGAGAACACTACCATGCAAGGCTATCACTTGAAGCCTTTGCTCTTTGCAGTGGCAGAAGCGTCCCTGCGCGCATTGAGATGCTGGGCTGAAAAGAGGAAGTATGACATCAGCGCCAGGTCGGGGAGAAGAGAGATTTCCTTCTTTCTCAGGGTGACCCACAGGAAGGACATGGGAAGTTAGGTCAGAACTGACTTGACACCTCTGTCCTGGGAAATCCTATCAGGTGACTAAAAAGAAAATATAACCCACCAAGTTGTTGCTCTTTGCTGTGAGATGGAACGCACCTTGGGGGAAACCCCTGACCACAGGCCAGTAGAACAGAACGTTGCTAGTCTTGCTGAAAAAGTCAACCAGAAAAATATTTCTTCAAATTACCTGAGGTAACAAGAAATATTTCCCAGTCTTGGGTTCTTTCATTTTCCTAATGGAAGCTTAGATTGCACACTATGTGATACATCATTTAGATTTTCCCTCTTGTGATTGGCTTTATTTTTTCTTTTTAGGAAAAAAAAGGGTGCAGGGCATACATTTTTGTGGTTAACAGGATTCCTAATACAACCATAAATTTGACCAACATATAAGTCATGATCTAGGATTCTAACTAGCAAATGATGTTTCTAATTTTCTAATAGGGCAAGTTATATATCATTAAGTTTGGGGATGCCAAGTCTTTTTTATTCCATCAATTTTTATTTTAAGTTCTGGAGCACAGGCACAGGATGTACAGGTTTGTTACATAGGTAAACGTGTGCCATGGTGGTTTGCTGCACAGATCAACCCATCACCTTGATATTAAGCCCAACATCCATTAGCTATTCTTCCTGATGCTCTCCCTAACCCCACTTCCCCAATGGGCCTCAGTGTGTGTTGTTCCCCCCATGTGTCCATGTGTTCTCATCATTCAGCTTCCACTTGTGAGTGAGAACATGTGGTGTTTGGTTTTCTGTTCCTGTGTTAGTTTACTGAGGATAATGGCTTCCAGCTCCATCCATGTTCCTGCAAAGGACATGATCTCATTCCTTTTTATGGCAGCATAGTATTCCATGGTGTATGTTTGTACCACATTTTCTTATTCAGTCTATCATTGATGGGCATGTGAGTTGATTCCATGTCTTTGCTATTTTGAATAGTGCTACAATGAACATATGTGTGCATGCATCTTTATAACAGAATGATTTATATTCCGTTGGGTATATACCCAATAATGGGATTGCTGGTTCAAATGGTATTTCTGCTTCTAGATCTTTGAGGAATTACCACATTGTCTTCCACAGTGGTTGCACTAATTTACAGTTCCACTAACCATCTAAAAGCATTCCTTTTTCTCTGCAACCTTGCCAGCACTTGTTGTTTCTTTACTTTTTAATAATCACCATTCTGAGTGGTGTGAGATGGTATCATGTTGTTTTGATTTGCATTTTTCTAATGATCTGTAGTGTTGAGCTTTTTTTTCATGTTTGTTGGCTGCATGGATCTCTTCTTTTGAGAAGTATCTGTTCATATCCTTTGCCCATTTTTTAATGGGGTTGGTTTTTTTTTAATTTGTTTAAGTTCCTTGTAGACATTGGATATTAGATCTTTGTCAGATGGCTAGATTGCAAAGATTTTCTCCCATTCTCTAGGATGTCTGTTCAATCTGATGATAGTTTCTTTTCCTGTGCAGAAGCTCTTTATTTTAATTAGATCCAATTTGTCCATTTTTGCTTATGTTGCAATTGCTTTTGGTGTTTTTGTCATAAAATCTTTGCCCATGCCTATATCCTGAATGACATTGCCTATATTTTCTTCTAGGGTTTTTATAGTTTTGGGTTTTACATTTAAGTCTTCAATCCACCTTGAGTTAACTTTTGCATAAGGTGTAAGGAAGGGGTCCAGTTTCAGTTTTCTACATATGGCTAGCCATTTTTCTCAGCACCATTTATTAAATAGGAAATATGTTCCCCCTTGCTTGTTCTTGTCAGATTAGATGGTTGGGAATGCCAAATCTTAATTAAAGAAACTAATACATGTTTAGAGTTGCCTGAAGTTAAAAAAAAAATCTGTGCTACAAACTAAAAGAAGCTTCCTTCTTTGAAGAAGAAAAAAAGACAAGAACTTTAGCTTTCTTACTTAGCTTTATAATTCCCATTGCCTTATTGCCTTTCTAGGTTAAAAGATTGGGAAAAACCATTAAATGCCAGTTACCACAAATTCTTTGTGGAATTAGGGAAATTATAGCTAAAATAATCATGCAAGAAATAAATTAAAAAAAAAAAACAAGAAAAAAGAAAAGATCAGAATTAAAACAAACAAAACCAAAACAAAAAATCCAAATTAAAGTTTGATAAATAGCAAATAAACACCTAGTTACAAATCTAGAAAGTCTTAAGCAGGCAATCCTAACAAAGAAGTATTACGAACATAAAAGGAATAGGTTTTAGGGCAATATAAGTCTGAGTAGGAAGTGACAGTGTTTGCTTTAAAGCCTTTAAAGTACACTTAAGAACTTACTTTATATGTAGTATATGTATATATTTTAGAAACACAGTCTCTGTTGCTCAGGCTGGAGTGCAATGATGTGATCATAGCTCAGTGCAGCCTTAAATTCTTGGGCTCAAGTGATCGTCCCACCTCAGTCTCTTGAGTAGTTGAGACTACAGGCACATCACAACATGCCCAGCTAATTAAAATTTTTTTTTTGTAGAGACATGGTCTCAGTATGTTGCCCAGCTTGATCATGAGCTTCTAGCCTCAAGAGATCATCCTGCCTTGACCTTCCAAAGTGCCTGGATTACAGGCACAAGCCACTGTGCCCAGCCAAAAATTTATTTAAAAATATGAAATAAACATTTTTTTTCTTTTAAAAACAAGGTCTCTCTCTGTCATCCAGGCTGGAGTGCAGTGGCCTAATCATAGCACATTGCAGTCTTTAACTCCTGGCCTCAAGTGATCCTCCTGTCTCAGCCTCCCAAATAGCTGGGATTAAAGGCCATGTTTCTTATTTACATGAAAGCTGTAGTCAAGATATGGGGTTTCAGTAGCTATATTAGTTAAAGTAATGCAAATGCCCTTAAACTGTAAAATGCCTTAAACCTAATAGAAGTGTATTTTTTGCTCATGTAAAATCAAAAATAGATGTAACAGGACAGGAGATATCTCTCCTCTAAGCAGGATCAGGATCCTTCCATCCTGTGGCTCCACCATCTTCACCACCTTCACCATCTTCAGTACTTGGACTGTGGGGTCACTGCACACATTTGTATCAAGTTGGTCAACAGAGAAGAAACATGGAAGATGGCCCATGGAGGTGGCACCTATCACTTCCACTCACATTCCGTGGGCTAGAACTCAGAGGTAAATCTGATGAACCACAAGCCAGTCTCTGTCCCCAAAGTCTTCCCAGAGAGAATGTACATAAGCTGATTTGGTATCTGCACAGTCTCTGCAGTGATGCCTGTCTCTGTTGCTGCTTATTAAAGTGTTAAAAGGATCCAGGATCCACCTAGAAATGAAATATTAAAAAGAAAGTTGCTTTGTAAATTCCACTGAGGGTTTTGTCATTTCAAAAGTCCCTGTTGAAGTCATTTCATTTTTTCTCTCTCTTGACAACAAAACATATGCCCTCATATTAATGACACTAGTTTTTTTGTTTTTGTTTTGTTCTTTTTGTAATCTGAGATTACAGGCATGTGCCACCACGCCCAGCTAATTATGTATTTTTAGTAGAGATGGGGTTTCTCCATGTTGGTCAGGCTGATCTCAAACTCCTGACCTCAGGTGATCCACCTGCCTCAGCCTCCCAAAGTGCTGGGATTATAGGCGTGAGCCACTGTGTCCAGCCTTCGCTGTCTTAAAACATTAACATGTTTGGAAAAACCTAGTATAAACCAAAATGAATTCCACATTTTATTAGCATCATTTTCTTATTTGCCAATGGAGCATGAGGTAATCATAAAAAAGTCATAGCAGAACAAACAGTTTATAAAAGAAAAAATAAAGGAATACTATGCAGTACAGGATTACGTTTGTCCAAAGAGATATTTGGCCTTTGTCTCCAACATGGGGGATGTGACCTCTAAGCTCTTGGAATGTCCTGCCTGATAAGAGTGTCTTTGGTTTCCTAGGGGCCTTATTTAAGCTTTGTGACATAGTCTATGCTAACAATGTGATCTATGGTGGGAGCCTTGGGCCACAGTGTATCAGACTGACCTCTGGAAGGGCTAGAGACTAAAGTCAGTCACACAGATGTCAATCTTGTCTATGTGACCAAGTTCAATAGAGTCTCTGGATAGCAAGACTCAGGTAAGCTCCCCCAGTCTGCAGTACTTTGTGTATATTGTCACACATCATGGCTGGGAAAAGTTTGCCCTGTCCACTTCTCTACTGGTAGAGAATGACTGGAAGCTCTAAGCATAGAGTGATCCTGAGCCCTGCCCTTCCTCTTTCCTCTGCTGATTTTAATCTGTATTCATTTGCTGTAATCAACCATAGTCATGAGTATAATAGTTTTTCTAAGTTCTGTGAGTCCTTCCAGTGAATTATTGAACCTGGGGCTTGTTCTAAACTTACAGTTGGTGTCAGAAATGAAGGTGGCTTTGGGGACTCCCAGATGTTACAAGTACCACAAGGCTTATAACAAAAAGCCAGTAACTCTCCGATTCATGCAGTTCCATCTCTGATACATACTTCTCTGAGACTATCACTTTTAATTCCTTTGGCTTCAGTTCTTAGCTCAACTTCTACTTAGCATATAAAACTACATATTTCTCACATTGAATTTTTCCCATTTCGGGTAGTACGATTATGACTTATTTTACCCTTACACTTAGCCCCTTTATCCTCTATCTTCCCATTATAGCTATATTACATTTTCAGTGGTAAAATTGACATGACAGTGATTAGGTAAATCTCGATCCTGACATTTGTTGTATAATATTTTTTATGCATAATATTTGGTTTTCCCAAAGTTAATAATTGGCATTGTTTGGTTGGTTTTTCTTAGTTTTCCACATACCCATCATTAATTTACCTTCCCTTACCCCAGTCACTGTCAGGGGTGAACTTTCTTCGTAATGTTCATAGTAATTACATTTTTTTTTCTTGGAGGCATTTCTCCTAGGTTTCCCAGTCCTTTAGTTTCAACCAGAGCTGGTTGCTCTGCAGGGCTCTGCACAACGATCCTCTTGACGCTTCTCTCACCACCTGCTAGAAAATCTTCTAGCTTTTTTCCCATGTTAAATCCTCTGTTTTCTGGAACCGAGGTCTTTTTCCTTGATTTAATTTTTTAATTTAGATTAAACACTTTCCTGACTTTCTCAAGATGCTTCATGAGAAAGGGCACATGGGACACAAAGTCCTGAAATCTCACATGAATAAAAATGGTCTTATCCTAACTGTTAATTAAGTGTGGCATAGCATGAAATTCCAGTTTGGACACTGTTTTATTCCAAAATTTAAAAGCATTGCTCCATCAACCTCTAGCTTCCAGAACAACTATTGAAAAGTCTGATGACATTCTGTTTCTTCATCCTTTGTATTTATTATTTATAATATATGCAACCTACTTTTTCTCTCTCGAACTTTGAGGATCTTCTCCACATGCAGGATTCTCTGAAATTTAAAAATACACTCTGAAGTCTTTTATTTTTTTAAAACCACATTGGGTTGGACATTCATTTTTTTTTTTTTTTTTGTTTTAATCATTTTTTTTTTTTTAAAATTTTTTATTGGATTATAGGTTTTGGGGTACATGAGCAGAGCATGCAAGACAGTTGCGTAGGTACACACATGGCAGTGTGCTTTGCTTTTCTTCTCCCCTTCACCCACATTTGGCATTTCTCCCCAGGCTATCCCTCCCCACCTCCCCCTCCCACTGGCCCTCCCCTTTTCCCCCCAATAGACCCCAGTGTTTAGTACTCCCCTTTCTGTGTCCATGTGTTCTCATTTTTCATCACCCACCTATGAGTGAGAATATGTGGTGTTTCATTTTCTGTTCTTGTGTCAGTTTGCTGAGGATGATGTTTTCCAGATTCATCCATGTCCCTACAAAGGACACGAACTCATCATTTCTGATTGCTGCATAATATTCCATGGTGTATATGTGCCACATTTTTCCAATCCAGTCTATTATCAATGGGCATTTGGGTTGATTCCAGGTCTTTGCTATTGTAAACGGTGCTGCAATGAACATTCGTGTACATGTGTCCTTATAGTAGAACGATTTATAGTCTTTTGGATATATACCCAGTAATGGGATTGCTGGGTCAAATGGAATTTCTATTTCTAAGGCCTTGAGGAATCGCCACACTGTCTTCCACAATGGTTGAACTAATTTACACTCCCACCAACAGTGTAAAAGTGTTCCTTTTCTCCACATCCTCTCCAGCATCTGTTGTCTCCAGATTTTTTAATGATCGCCATTCTAACTGGCGTGAGATGGTATCTCAATGTGGTTTTGATTTGCATCTCTCTGATGACCAGTGACGATGAGCATTTTTTCATATGATTGTTGGCCTCATATATGTCTTCTTTCGTAAAGTATCTGTTCATATCCTTTGCCCACTTTTGAATGGGCTTGTTTGTTTTTTTCCTGTAAATCTGCTTGAGTTGTTTGTAAATTCTGGATATCAGCCCTTTGTCAGATGGGTAGACTGCGAAAATTTTTTCCCATTCTGTTGGTTGCCGATCCACTCTAGTGACTGTTTCTTTTGCCGTGCAGAAGCTGTGGAGTTTGATTAGGTCCCATTTGTCTATTTTGGCTTTTGTTGCCAATGCTCTTGGTGTTTTGTTCATGAAGTCCTTGCCTACTCCTATGTCCTGGATAGTTTTGCCTAGATTTCCTTCTAGGGTTTTTATGGTGCCAGGTCTTATGTTTAAGTCTTTAATCCATCTGGAGTTAATTTTAGTGTAAGGTGTCAGGAAGGGGTCCAGTTTCTGCTTTCTGCACATGGCTAGCCAGTTTTCCCAACACCATTTATTAAACATGGAATCCTTGCCCCATTGCTTGTTTTTGTCAGGTTTATCCAAGATTGTATAGTTGTATGTATGTTGTGTTGCCTCCGGTGCCTCTGTTTTGTTCCATTGGTCTATATCTCTGTTTTGGTACCAGTACCATGCTGTTTTGATTACTGTAGTCTTGTAGTATAGTTTGAAATCTGGTAGTGTGATGCCCCCCGCTGTGTTCTTTTTGCTTAGAATTGACTTGGCTATGCGGGCTCTCTTTTGGTTCCATATGAAGTTCATGGTGGTTTTTTCCAGTTCTGTGAAGAAAGTCAATGGTAGCTTGATGGGGATAGCGTTGATTCTGTAAATTACTTTGGGCAGTATAGCCATTTTCACGATATTAATTCTTCCTAACCATGAACATGGAATGTTTCTCCATCTGTTTGTGTCCTCTCTGATTTCGTTGAGCAGTGGTTTGTAGTTCTCCTTGAAGAGGTCCCTTATGTTCCTTGTGAGTTGTATTCCAAGGTATTTTATTCTTTTTGTAGCAATTGCGAATGGCAGTTCGCTCTTGATTTGGCTTTCTTTAAGTCTGTTATTGGTGTAGACGAATGCTTGTGATTTTTGCACATTGATTTTATATCCTGAGACTTTGCTGAAGTTGTTTATCAGTTTCAGGAGTTTTTGGGCTGAGGCGATGGGGTCTTCTAGGTATACTATCATGTCGTCTGCAAATAGAGACAATTTGGCTTCCACCTTTCCTATTTGAATACCCTTTATTTCTTTTTCTTGCCTGATTGCTCTGGCTAGAACTTCCAGTACTATATTGAATAGGAGTGGTGAGAGAGGGCATCCTTGTCTAGTACCAGATTTCAAAGGGAATGCTTCCAGTTTTTGCCCATTCAGTATGATATTGGCTGTTGGTTTGTCATAAATAGCTTTTATTACTTTGAGATACGTTCCATCGATACCAAGTTTATTGAGGGTTTTTAGCATAAAGGGCTGTTGAATTTTGTCAAATGCCTTCTCTGCGTCAATTGAGATAATCATGTGGTTTTTGTTTTTGGTTCTGTTTATGTGGTGAATTACGTTGATAGACTTGCGTATGTTGAACCAGCCTTGCATCCCTGGGATGAATCCTACTTGATCATGATGAATAAGTTTTTTGATTTGCTGTTGCAATCGGCTTGCCAATATTTTATTGAAGATTTTTGCATCTATGTTCATCATGGATATTGGCCTGAAGTTTTCTTTTCTCATTGGGTCTCTGCCGGGTTTTGGTATCAGGATGATGTTGGTCTCATAAAATGATTTGGGAAGGATTCCCTCTTTTTGGATTGTTTGAAATAGTTTTAGAAGGAATGGTACCAGCTCCTCCTTGTGTGTCTGGTAGAATTCGGCTGTGAACCCATCTGGACCTGGGCTTTTTTTGTGAGGTAGGCTCTTAATTGCTGCCTCAACTTCAGACCTTGTTATTGGTCTATTCATAGTTTCAGCTTCCTCCTGGTTTAGGCTTGGGAGGACACAGGAGTCCAGGAATTTATCCATTTCTTCCAGGTTTACTAGTTTATGTGCATAGAGTTGTTTGTAATATTCTCTGATGACGGTTTGAATTTCTGTGGAATCTGTGGTGATTTCCCCTTTATCATTTTTTATTGCATCTATTTGGTTGTTCTCTCTTTTATTTTTAATCAATCTGGCTAGTGGTCTGTCTATTTTGTTGATCTTTTCAAAAAACCAGCTCTTGGATTTATTGATTTTTTGAAGGGTTTTTCGTGTCTCAATCTCCTTCAGCTCAGCTCTGATCTTAGTAATTTCTTGTCTTCTGCTGGGTTTTGAGTTTTTTTGATCTTGCTCCTCTAGCTCTTTCAATTTTGACGATAGGGTGTCAATTTTGGATCTCTCCATTCTCCTCATATGGGCACTTATTGCTATATACTTTCCTCTAGAGACTGCTTTAAATGTGTCCCAGAGGTTCTGGCACGTTGTGTCTTCATTCTCATTGGTTTCGAAGAACTTCTTTATTTCTGCCTTCATTTCGTTGTTTACCCAGTCAACATTCAAGAGCCAGTTGTTCAGTTTCCATGAAGCTGTGCGGTTCTGGGTCGGTTTCTGAATTCTGAGTTCTAACTTGATTGCACTATGGTCTGAGAGGCTGTTTGTTATGATTTCAGTTGTTTTGCATTTGTTGAGCAGTGCTTACTTCCAATTATGTGGTCAATTTTAGAGTAGGTGTGATGTGGTGCTGAGAAGAATGTGTATTCTGTGGATTTGGGGTGGAGAGCTCTGTAAATGTCCACCAGGTTTGCTTGCTCCAGGTCTGAGTTCAAGCCCTGGGTATCCTTGTTGATTTTCTGTCT